TTTGTTATTTGATTTAATAAATAAAATAGTTTTTTTTATTTTCTGTTGAATAATTTATTTATGTTGCCAGTTTAATAAAGTGATATAAATATAATGAATTCCGCTTGAGAGTGCCACACATTTTAAATGCTGTATCAGCAAATTCGTTTTTGGGTATGTCTATGGGTGAAGTTTGTAGGTAACCAAGTTTGTAATCTGTCATCTGTGTGAATAATTATGAATCGTAACGTTTATTAAAATACTTTTACATAGAAGCCATTTATACAATTTAAAAAAATACATATTACTCAAATTTTTGACAATTGGGAAAAAGAAGCAATACAATTAAAATGATTTATCTAGGCTCTTTTAAAACAAGTGTCTAGTATAATGGTCAATTTATACTAAATCAGTATAGGAATTTTCCTTATTGATTTAGCAACTGCTAAATTTGCATTCAAAGAGTTGTAACAAATATTATATAATATCTTGAAAGAAAATAAATATCATTTTCAATTCTATGTCCCATATTTTTATTTTTTGAGGGGATGCTCATATTAATATTTTGAATATTATATCAATATTTTATTTTTACCACAAATTTGAGTCACGATTGTTCTTTACACACTGGATTACTCCCCATAAATTTCTTAATTTCTCGCAGAGATTTTCCAAACTTTTAATAGAATCATAAAGGTCGTCGTAGAAATTATTTATAACTAAAAAGATTCGCACAATTTTTCACTCATGACAATAAGGACACATTTTTTATTAACGTCTCCGCTTCAAGTTTCAAATCTGCCACATATTTATATGCAGAGTGCAGAAACGTGAGAATCAAAAGTCTTGATGTGACTGGAGAGAGATATGCAATTTCAAAAGCCGCGTGCAAATGGGACGCGCGAGGTGCTTTTCATTTATATTATTACGGTCATTTATATCGTGCAGTGCTCCACTTGCAAAGTGAAATAATAAAACTACACAGCGTGCAGCGCTGAATGTATAAAATTCATATAATAATAATCTGGGTTGCACTTGTGCAGAGCGAACGCTCTCCCACACATGTGCATAGCATGAATCATGAGACTAATAGGGAGATAACAACATCTGCCCCTGGAAAAACAATTTCATAAATAAATAGGCTCATCCATATTCCAGACGTGCTCCCGTGCATCTCTCTCTCTTATAAGCACAGGTTTCCGGCGCGAATTAGCCCTGCTTTTTATATATGAATATTTATTATAAGTTTTTTAATCGCGGTGCAGCGCGTTAAAGAGGATGTAAATGGCCGTGTTATTAGCATAAATTGAGCGAGAGAAGCCTTTTCTTGTGTGAAAGAGAGACAAGTGCCGCGAGAATAAGAGAGAACATAATCAAGCGCCGCCGAGTGTGAAGTGCCTGTCGGCGGCGCTGGAAAAATTACTTAATGATGGATTATCCTTTTCACCTACAAACTGCTGCCGCCGCCGTCATATGGTGCTCGGTTCCAATTTTCCCTTTTTTGGACTTGGTGCACTTTACCATGAGAAATGAACATGATTTTTAATGTGCAAAAGAAATGTCAACGAGGCGAAATTAAAAATCACGCTCGCCACTCCTTGGATGCGGTGGAATGTGCGTGGCTGGCCTTTAATTATACCGGCTCATATGGGATTATACATAATGGTACGCGCCGTCGACTTAAAGGCTATTAAAAACAATGCGAGAGAGGAATTTCTCGTGCGGAATTTCGGCACCTATGATTAATAGTTTTGCAACTCCAATGGACGTGATGTCACGTGATTAATTAATCCTTAGAAGCTTAAAATTTTCTTAAGTCCAAAATTGACTTTATCTGAGTAACTGGTTTAGGATAAAATACTTCATATGTATTTTCCTTGATGGGAAAGACGAAAATTCATTGATGGATTTTGACTGAATGTTTATTGCAATTCTTGTACTTATAGCCGCAAATTAACGGTAGTCATGGACTCATTTAATTTGAAAGATTGTTTTTAATTCAAAACTTGCAATAGTTTTATTTGAATTAATAACAACAAAATAGATGGACAATTCAATGTAATCTTACTCAATGGCAGATATTTTAAGCGTCGGATAAAGTTACAAAGACAAGAATTTTACATTTCCCAAACAATAGCAAGGTTTATCAAAGAAAATTTATATAAATAATTCAATAAATTTTATCACAGAAACGATGTCTTTTGGAATATGTATATATTTTTTTAACATATTTTGTCAGAAATATTCCCTTTTTTTGTGCAAATTGATACTTTCTCAATGTACAAATTAGCAAAACGTTATCGTATAGTTTGCTTTCATATTTTTTATTTTATTAATTTATATATTATATTTCTTAAAAATTATCTCTAGCATAAAAATAATTTTTCGTATATCTAATATTTTATAATAAATTTTTTAAATAAATGCTGTAAATTATTTAAATTTATGATTGTTTTTTTAAATTAAATTTCTTCATTCAATAGAAAAATTTTATTAAACATGCCTTAAAATTTCCAATTAATATAATTAAAATTCAACATAAGGGTATTGTTGCTGGATAAAAGTTATATTATCCACTGAAAATTACATCCAACAATTGCAAGATTGCTATTTAATTTAAATTTATTACTGGGTGGTGAAATTAATGTGAAATTTATGACTGAAAAATTATGAAAGAATGCAGTCTTAAAAATATCACACGTAATTATATTTAAATAATAACATTTCATTTTTTATTTTGCAGTTATCGAATGCAATATACTGAAAATTTTACACATAATAACTTGTGATTAGTGCCAGGTGCGTTAAGTTCTTGGCCAACAGTCTGACCTTTACCAAGTCCAGCAAGCAGCGTTTTCGCGAGTGCCCGATCTCTTCTGGTTCCATTTCGATAACCTCTCAGCTTTCGGAATTCGCAACTAATTCTCTCTCGGTGCAATTCGTCATGAGCTCTCTCGTAAATTTGCGCGTTAATCACTGCGGTCGTTGGCCGGGAAAAAATATACAATATCCAAAGCACACATTATAAATTACACACACATTAATTTTACAGACAAAAGGCGCGAAGATCAGGCCGTGGAAAGGAAGCAGATGATCATCTCTCTCCAAATTATCGGCGGCTTTATAAATGAGCTTACAGCATGTCGAATATGCGAAGCCCATAGCCAGGTCGTGCAGCCTTTTCGTAGCGTCCGATTAATTTAAGCTCTCTCGCGCCGCGTGAATATTAGCCAGTTTAAATGCCCTTAAGAGCTCGGCACACCAAATAGAGCAGGTTGCAAGCTGTCGCGCCCTGAGATGTAACAGGTTGGCTCCTCTCTCAGGGTAGCTCCGACCTTCAGATGATGGAAAAAACACCTGCCGCACATGCTGCTTCTCTCTCCATCTCGTTTCACGCACAGACCTTTGAATTAAAAAGGAAAAAAATCCAACTGCTGCCGGCGCATTGTCTCTTTTGCGGCTTTTTAGTCTCGTCTCGCGAGCCAATTGGGCAGATTATTTATTGAGTCGTCAATCGACCAGCACATGCCAATTCGGTCGCCGGGCGCCTGCTCGACGCCGAATTGACAAATCAACCTGTTTGTGCCTCTCGAGAGTATGGACGAAAATTAAAAGACACCACAGAGACGGACCGTGTTTTTGTCTCGCATCACATGCAGGTAAATGATAAAAAAAAAAATCAGAAAATGTGAAATCGGTATAAAAAAATTGATATATATATAAAAATTTTTAAATTTTGGACGGATTCGATTCTTTCTTAATCAACAAAATATTTAGAACATAGACTTGCATTATAAATGATTCAAGTTCGTTGCAAATTTTTCATTATAACTTAATTTTTTTTTAGAGAAGTCAATTTACAATTACAAATAAGAATGCAAAATTTATTTGTGAATCATTTGGTTTTTTTAAATTTTTTTCTCATGTTTTCTTCAAATAGATTTTTAAAAAAATTAGCTTTCTTGACTAATTTAGATTACAAATTTTTTTACTGCTTTCAATAGTGTAAAACGTGTAAAATAGCATAAATATTTTACAGTATTTATGTTAATTGTTCAAATAAATTTATAAAAAAAAATCGTTTGACGAGGGAAGCTTGGAATTGATGCTATATGAACAAAACGACACCACAATGACGAGAAATGATTTTTTTATTAAAAAATCCCTAAATACAAAATATATATCTCTACCGCACCAAGGCGAGCGTCTAATTATAATAATTTTGGCAAGTGAAATAATTCAGTTGGTTGGGTTTTAATTTTGTTTTAATGTACTTTGGATGAAATAAATTGAATGGAAAAATTAATGCAAATTATTGCAAATATTTACTGTTCATTTATAAAACATTTTGATGAGCGTGGATCCGTATTTGGAATTGTTAAAACAAAAATGTTAATATTATTGTGAGCTTCTTTTTCTCTGCAGACAGTAAATGAGTGGCACTCATTTCATTGATTGTCAGACATGAGAGGTATTTGCACTTGTCGGCAGAAAGAAAAGATTTCGTATTTCTTGTAGGCCTCGGGCGATGAGAGAAGGTTGATTCGTCGTTCTAGACCGACGCCGCATGAGTAATCCATCATTAAAAGCGAATTTTCACGGAATTTTTCTGTATTGCGCATGTTCTCTCCACATCAAGCAAAAATTGCTCGGAATGTATCTAGACATGTTGGCGACTTCACTAATCATCAAGATCACACAGGAGACCTCATGGCAGGCAATGTGCATGCCCAAACAAGTTATAGATCTATGAGTCAACCAAATACTTGAAATACAGATTATTATTTATTAAATCTGCTCATGGAAAATTGCATAAATGAAAATAATAAAATACTTTAAATATACATAAATAATAGAACATTGTTTTAATTTCAATATTGTACTTTTTTTTAAATCACGATGCTTAATTTGTGTATTAATTGTCTTTTTTCCTGTTTTTAAATTTGCTCTAAGTCAATTTTCCTACTATCTTATTTTAAAATTTCTGAGGGATTTAGTTGTCTGGATTAAAAGATTTCAGATTTCTTTTGAACCATATTCAGGTTGTTTTCACTTTTATTTTATTACAAAAATGCAAAAGTAACAGCGGCTGGCGTCAATCAACGCTTAAGTCGCGACAAGAATTACATAAAATTAGAAATACACACTGCGTATTGGAATTATTATTTCGACATTTCGTACAAATTATGTAGTAAAGCGATATCGTTTGTGCACATGTGAGGCTGCACCGCTTTTCGCGTTATGCCATTGACTAGGGAATGTCAAAATCAAATACAATAGGATGAATTATCAACTAAACTTACAACGATAATCGGTGGAATCGAAAGTAATCAATGTACAGAAAAAGCATTTGTGACGCGCAATATAGGAATGTACATGTGTAATAAATTAACGGGGAAAAGCGAGAGTGAAATAAATCTGTACACATAAAAAAAGTAAAGGCACGTGGGGTGAACATTTTGCCAAATTGTGACCGAACACATAAAAAAAATGAATGCAAAAAATAAATATATGGCAATGCTGTTTCACGGCTAGAGAGGTACTCGGAGCGTCGAAATGTACAAGGCACGTTTGTGTTGGATGAGAAATTTTTGAGTAAAAATTCTTCAGTGGACCGGTTGCATGGGCTGCATCTGTTGTTGCATGATGATGTTGTCGACGGTGTGCTGGCTGAGGCCGGAGCAGCCGCCGTCGATGTGTTTGCCGAGCAGGGACATTCGCGAGAAGGTCTTGCTGCAGTGCTGGCAGGAGTACTTCTTGACGTCCGAGTGGGTCTGCAGGTGCGCCCTGAGGTTGGAGCGGTCGGCGAAGGCGCGCCGGCAGTGCTGGCAGGAGAAGGGCTTCTCGCCGGTGTGCGTCCGGATGTGGCCCTGCAGCAGCCAGGGCCGCGAGAAGGCCTTGCCGCACAGTTTGCACTTGCAGGGCAGCGTGTGCGTCCGGATGTGCATCTTCAGGGCGCCCAGCGACACGTACGTCTTCTCGCAGTACTTGCAGCTGAACGACTTGGGCTGCGCGTTGTTGTTGGCGTGGTCGTCGTCCGAGGCCGTCGACCCCGCGGCGGCCGGACAGTGGAGGGCGCGGTGTTTGCTCAGGCCAGAGAAACTCGAGTAGCTCTTGCTGCAGTTGGGGCAGCTGTACCTTTGGCCGCCCGCAGGTTTGTTGCGGGCCGGACGGCTCAGGTCCTCGACGCCGAGGATTTCGGTGGACGAGGCCGAGGAACTCGAGGGGGAGAGAAGGTTGAGCTCGTGGTGGCCCTCGCCAGGGAAGGGCGGCGCGAAGGCGGCCGAGTAGAGGCGGTGGGCCGGGGGCGACGAGGAGGCGGCCCTCGGGGGTGCGTACGGCGACAGGGCCGGCGGGGGGTACAGGGTGGTGACGGGGGCCCTCCGGATGGCCGCCGGGGCCACGGTGGGGTGGTAGTAGAACTGGTGGTGGTGGCGCGGCTGCGGCATCGGCGGCCAGCACATCTGCTCGGGGGCCACCGGCGTGTTCAGACTCAGGGGCTCGAGCACCCCGCCGGTCGGCTTGAGGTAGTACGGGTGGTGCAGGGAGGGTGGCGGCGTCGGCAGAGAAGCCGGAGGTGGCGGCGAAGGCGTCGTTGCGATCACCAGGGGTGGCGGCGACACAGGTGACTCGGGGCGCCGAACGCTCAGGTCTTGTGGTTTGGTGCTCAGGTTCTCCGGCTCGACTGTGTCCATTTCCATTTTTACATCATCCGGTTCTGCAAAGAGAAAAAAAACAATGGTTAGATTTGCTGGATTAAAGTGAAAAATTGACAATGAAATTCAAATATAGGTCAAAGCGCCAGTTTCGTTTCGGAATGAAAAATTCCAAATAAATTTTAAATTTTGGTTCCAGAATACTGAATTTAAAATATATTTTTTCCTCCTTCAATCACTTTCTTGAACGTATTTTTGTAAGTTAATCATCCTATGAAACATCCAGAACTTGAAACAAGTAAAACTTTACTGTTGATGAAAACGAGTTTAATTTAAAAAATATCTTAAATTATGTATTGCACAATCTGAAGATAAGTTCAATTTCCATTAAAATTACACCAAATTTTGTAAAAAAAAACTTTGGATTTGCGTCTTTGAAAAACAAAATATAATTCAAAGAGGTGATTAAAGATTTCAACTCCTGCAAATAATGACAAAAAACCGAGGTGAAAATTCAATGACAGATTCTCTTAAATTTTGACGCATTTAAAGGAACCCCTACAACTTTCTCTCTTTTAAAATTTCAAAAAAGTTAAAGTTTCAGAAAAATCTAAAAATTGAAATAAATATTAAAAAACTGAAACGTACCATCTTTGATGATGTGAACCGGTCGCTTTTTAAGCGGGCAGTGGCTGTAGTTGGCGGCGCCGCCCGCCTTCTTGATGAGGAACGACCTCGGCATGGTGAAAATTTTTCTAAGTTCAAAGAGCGCACTATGGTATCAACTGGGTGAGCGAGAGAGGCACTTCTTCACTCAACCACGGCACGTAGCTCGACTGAGTGTTTTGCTCGTGGTGCCGCGGATATCGTTCGCTTCGCTCCGCCTCCTCTGCCACGTGCTGCCCGACCAATCACGTCGCGTCGCTCTGCGCAGATACACTTCTTTTATTGTTATGTTTGCTGCTACTGCGTTAAAGTTTATTCAAAATTTATTTCTAATTTTTAATAGAACTTAATTTCTATTTAATTCAATATAAAATTATTAAAATTTATTTTAATTTAAATAATTATTATTTTCGTAAATCATTCAGACGTCCATTATTTTTAAATCAAGTTTTAACAAAATAAGAGTGGTGAAGAGTTCATGGTTTAAGATTAAATATAATACGCACTAGTCTCTGATTGATGCTGCATATCCTAGTACAAAAGTATCTTAGGATCGTCTTCAGAAAATTGAATGTTGTTATTAATTAAGTAATTATCACAGTTGAATGTTGAATAAAATTAGACGCCTTCAAAATGCTGCGTGGGTTAAAAAGAGAAAAATATAATTATGTTGTAAGTAAGATTAATTCATTCTTCTAAGTATTGCCAAACAACGCTCATGCAGTTGTCTCAATTATGTTTATGTTTCTTCAATTTATTGTGAGGCTTGACCTGTTATTTACAGGTCATTGCAGAGTCAATTTCTTTTTAGTAAAATATTTAAAATTTAGCCTGGCATCCCGTTTTTTTCTGTTATAGTTACAGCAATCAAATGTTTGCCTCTATCATAACAAAGTAATGGAATCTTGTCAGCATAATTTAGTTTTGCAAAAAAAAAATCTTATTTAATCCTTGAATTAAAATTATATTGATCTCAATCATTTGAATTTCGAAGTTTTAAATTTTGTTCAAGTTTGCTGTAAGATCTGTCGCTCATCTGTGCCTGGCTAGGACAGGTGTTGAGTTCTGCACGCACATGACACGAATATGCAGGGGGAGATTTTTTCTCTCCGCTGCACAGCCAGCGTGCTTTATGTGTTCTCGGCCACTATTCGGCATGGTGCAGCTGCACTGGCATCCATCAGTTGATGATCTTGGCCTGGGCAGATGGTTTTATTATCGTGCCCGGGACACAAAACTCCGCATGTGTGTATTTTCTCGATATATTGAAAAATAAAACGCGCGCGACTCGGCACGCGCGGCGTCTCTCGTCAAAAATCGCACTCCATTAATCAAATACATATACGCGCATGCACGCATTTTATATTATTCCATCCGTTCGAATCGCATTTGCATTATGTGGCTTCTGAAATCACCTGACTGTTTTTACTCAACGTCGTGTGCGCCTCTGTATAATCGGAGAGCATTCATGAGATAATCAAAAGAGCGTGTCAGAATAAATTCATATAATCAGAAATATCGGTACACGCCATAATTTTATGACACCCCGCAATAACCTCCGCTAGATTATTATTAATTTTTTCTACTTCAAAATTATCTCTTGATATTAAAAGAAATTTGCCACCCTGAATTTCCCTAAGTGTGAATTTTTTCTGCATAAATATCTTTGAAAGCATATCAAGAAAAATTATTCTCATCAGCAAAAATCTTAATGATCTTGTAGAGAGGGTGAATTAAAAACTTTTAAATTATTTTAAATTTATATTATGCTAATTGAAAAGTTAACTTCACTGTTAGAATCCTCATGCAATTACGCAATCTTTTCAACTTTTCGATTTAGGAAACGAAAATTATAAAAAAAAATTATAATATATAACAGTTTTCTTATTTCATAGTGTTTTAGTGAAAAAGGCAGTCGGTCAATTCGCTGATTAGGCTCATTATTATAGCTTTAAGGATAAGTCCGACATTTATTGGCGAATTTGACAGAATAAAAATAACACGGTTTAAAGGAACAAAATCTTTTTTATTATTAATTTATTATTGTTGACTGTGTTGACTATTATCGAAATTGTTGCAAAAAATATATACATTAAGATCAACACACTTGATGTGGAGGGCAAACAATTTTCTTTAGACAAAACACCTCTAGCGCACGGATTTTTCTATAACTTCTGCAATCAAAAATTTAGACCAGACTATAAGACTTGAACCTTAATCAGCTGCAGTTTTTATAAAAAAAAATCCCATCGTTTAAATATTTTGTATAATCTTTTAGATAATTGTAAACATTTCTATACTCGTTGCAGACCATTTTCAATAATATCGAGAGCGGTTTTCTATGATATAATGATTAATGATATAAAATAATTTAAATAAGCTCCCATTTAATGAAATTGATTGTCTGGCAATGAGAAGAAAAAAAACATTTTGATGCCCCTTATAATCTTATAATTTAATTTTTTTTCTAATATTTAATAATTTATTCTGCACAAAACATACGATATTTTGCACACTTATGCAGATTATTACGATTATTCACTTGCTCTGGTGAGTGAATGTGCATTTCCGCACATCGCATTTACAGGGGCATAAAATCTGCATAACGAGGAGCTCAACGACTCTCCTCTTTATTGCTACACGTCTCTCGGATACGCGGAGATATTATTGCACACTTTTATATTACACGACCGCACGTCGGCCAAAACATGTGCATTTAATTTTAAAAGACTGCAGCTTTTGATATCAAGTTGCGCTGCACGTCTTGAAGAGAAAGACGCATGAATGGCTGCACCTTGGAATGCAATAGAAGAGGAGCCGAGGGCGCATCAGCCCCGAAAAACTGCAGCTTTTTGTGCTCGCGGACAAAAACCACTGCATCTCAGCTGCTGCATCTTGCAAGAATGCAGCACATGCATGCGCCTTTGGAGCTATATTGGAATAGCCAGGCGCGCTATTGACGCGATTTAAAAGGCGCGTGTCTTGAGGGCGCAAGAAATATGTCTTGGGACCTCCTTGAAAGTGGGCCTAGAAATATAAATAACTACAGTTGAGAAAAAAAAATCAGTTTGAATGAAATTATAATAATTGTTATAGTTTTGAAGAACTAAATATTTAAAAAAAATTTCTCACTAATTTTTAAGGAATTTGGGGAAAAAGAGTAAATAAATAAAACCAGCTTGACAAGGATTTTGCATAATCTCGGACGAATCAAAATATCTTTCCATTTAAGGCTCAATTTTGAAAATATAGAAGTTTTTTTTTTAGATAATTTAACTCCTTTAAAAATCAAACATTTTCATTTTAAAATTTCTTATCCCCATTCTTCCTTTGATTTTTTCTTAATACTTGATCAAGCTAACTGAATTTAGACGGTTCTGGATTTGAGATTGCACATGAGCTTTACGTCCTCCTCTTTCTTTCGGTGAAGGCAGGCGTCAGTCACTGGAAGGCAGGTGCTATACTGCGCTGCTGAGCAACGACCCTTAATACACCGGGGGTTGCAGGTTGGCGCGCAGCAACTGCTGCTCTGCGTCTCTCTTTTTCAATCTGCACCCCTAGATGCTCTCTGCAGTCAGCGCGCGCGGCACAAAGCAAAGAAAAAGAGAGACGCGCACAAAGCGAGTCCGTAGCACCTTGCGAAACAGTCATGCCTGTTAGATCATCAAAGAAGAAAAAATAGGAACCTTACGGGGTTTCAAAGCGGCCGGCTGGCGCTGCGGGGAGAGATGCATCAGGCGCTCCTCGTCGCACAACTCTCGCTTTTGAGCAGCAGGTCTTTTAAATTTTAAAAAAGAAGAAGCATATAAATAAAAATAGCGGCACCTGAACCTAGCAGTGGACTTTAAATCGACCTGAGTATTGCTGGTCTCAGACCTTTAAAAGTTTAAAATATATTATGGTTTTGTGGAGCGAGCTCAATTGACTTAACAATTTTTCGTATATATGAACTTTTAACATGAAACTGTTAAATATTTTATTTATTTATATGAATATCATCGGTATTAAAAGGGTAATGAGCAAACTGGACATGCCTATTCAATATATAAATCGCTTTGTTCTTTGTCTATCAAACTTACTATATGGCTCTAAGCCTATTTATTTATAATAAAATAGAATAAAATCAATAAAAATATGAAAATATAAATGGTCATTTCAAATTTGTTTGATACACTTCCCTTTATAAAGACATAATTTAAAATAATAAAAATTTTATTTAACATTTTAATGTTTAAATTATATCCATTTCGAAATAAATATTTAAAAAAATTTAATTTATTTAAAAACATAATAATACTTAATTATTAATTTTATTATAGTAAAATTAAATTTGAGACTCTTTTCAAAACAGTCTTTTGCAAGCTCGTAGTGTTATCGTTGAGGAAAATTACTTTTGTTTTTTTCCATCAATTTACTCAAGACTTGCACACAGCAAACGTGTGGAAAGTGGGCGAAACGAGGTAACAAAGTTAGGCAATCCGCTCAACACGCACACTGCGCTGGTTGCGGGCCTCACTCCAAACAAAGAATAACAAATTTTCCTCTTTCAAAATTACACAAAACCGATCTTGTTCTTTCTCTTTTTATTAGAAATTTACATTTCAAGGTGATCAGATAATGGATTCTCTTTAGATAAGCAAAAGTTTGCTTTGCATCGAGATGAAAAGTTTTGGTGACACAAAGAAGCGAGTTTTGCGTGTTATGGAAATAAAAACTCCGTTGGTCGAACGAATGTGATTTCACATTCCATTTACTTTACCCCTTATATAAAAGAGGGATGCTTTCTTTGACGGAAAGGGCGGGAAATAACGGAATAATGAGAAAAGTCTCTCGTCAGAGAAATTGCCGTCGTATTACCAGCATTTTGTTGTAAAATTGGATGGGGGACTGCTTTTTGTCACCGCCGAAACAACTCTCAACAACTCTAGGCAAAAAAAAAAAGAAAGAACTCGAGGTCGGTGCCGTACTTTTCTTTATAGAGTGCCGTGTTTCGCTTCCTTCCTCGCTCGGGCATTGTGTTGCAACAAGTATAATAAAGAGAGAAAAAGTGGCTTCCCCTTTTCGCTTTTTGTGCGCAGCCCTATGGGTGTTGCTGCTTTTGATCGCACCAGAATAAAATAATAATAATATCCTGCTCACATGCAGAGGAAACCAGAAC